CAGATCCATCAGGACGTGTCTGACCAAGCACGGGCTACAGCCTCTCTTAAGGCATATACCGTGGCTATTCGGGTAGCCAGGGAATCTTTCACGACTACTCGTATAGCGTCTGCAGCAAATAGATCATTGGAGCTGTTTCGGGTTGTCGGGGAACTCCTTCACCCACCGGTGGTGGAGGAGACCTTCGATGACCCAGCAGCTCGGTGTTGCGAGTTCGCACACCATTTTGCAGACAAAGTTGCTCAGATACACCTTGAGCTGGACTCCAATTTCATCACAGTGCCAGTTGAGGTGATTGAAGCATCCTGCTTGTCCTATTTTGTGGGATACTTTTAGGCTTGTTCTTCCTGAGACTGTGGAGGAGGTCCTTGGTGCTGTAAGGGCGACCACGTTGGCTCTAGACCCTTGCCCGTCTTGGCTAACCAAATCAGCCAGGGAGGGGTTGGTTGATTGGTTTGTGTTGATCATTAATGCATTGTTGGAACAGGGGTTTTTTCCATCTCGACTGAAACAGGCTGTGGTTCGCCCACTCCTAAAAAAGGTCTCCCTTGATTCCATGGTGCTGAACAACTTCAGACCAATCTCCAACCTCCCTTTCTTGGGCAAGGTGCTGGAGCGGGTGGTCGCCTCCCAGCTCCAGGGCTCCCTAGATGACGACAACTACCTAGATCAGTCACAGTCTGGCTTCAGGCCTGGCCATGGCACCGAGACGGCCTTGGTTGCCTTGGTGGATGACCTCCGTAGAGAGCTGGACAGGGGGAGTGTGATTCTGTTAGTTCTCTTGGACACCTCAGCAGCTTTCGATACCATCGACCATGGTATCCTTCTGGGTCCTTCTGGGTCGACTCTCTGGGATGGGTCTCGGAGATGGGTCTCAGTTTTGTCGTGGCTCCGGTCCTTCCTGGAGGGTCGATCCCAGATGGTGAAGCTGGGAGACGCCTGCTCGGACCCCTGGCCTTTGACCTGTGGGGTCCCACAAGGCTCTATTTTGTCTCCCATGCTTTTTAACATCTACATGAAACCGCTGGGAGAGGTCATCAGGAGTTTTGGAGTTGGGTGCCATCTCTATGCAGATGACACACAACTCTACTACTCATTTCTACCTAACTCCAAGGAGGCTTCTCGAGTGCTGGACGAGTGCCTGGCCACTGTGGCTGTCTGGATGAGGAGGAACAAGCTGAAGATCAATCCCGACAAGACAGAGGTCCTCCTGGTCGATCGTAAACCAGATCGGGGTATAGGGTGGCAACCTGTGCTGGACGGGGTTACACTCCCCCTGAAGTCACAGGTCCGCAGCTTGGGAGTCCTCCTGGATTCATCACTTAAGCTAGAGGCTCAGGTGTTGGCGGTGTGCGGGAGGGCCTTTGCGCAACTGAGACTTGTGCGCTGCGAACGTACCTCGCAAAGGCTGATCTGGCCGGGGTGGTCCATGCCTTGGTCACCTCTACACTGGACTACTGTAATGCGCTCTACGTAGGGCTGCCCTTGAAAATGGCTCAGAAATTCCAACTAGTCCAACGGGCAGCGGCCAGGATGTTAACTGGGGCTCCTTACAGAGAGAGGTCAACCCTCCTGTTTAAGGAGCTCCACTGGCTGCCATTTATTTTCCGAGCCCAATTCAAGGTGCAGGTGCTTACTTAGAAAGCCCTAAACGGTTTGGGACCTGCCTACCTGCGTGACCGCATCTCCGTTTATGAACCCACACGCTCTCTTCATTCATCTGGAGAGGCCCTGCTCGCGATCCCACCTGCATCGCAGGTGCGTTTGGTGGGGACGAGGGACAGGGCCTTCTCTGTGGTGGCCCCCTGACTTTGGAACACCCTCCCCAAAGACATTAGACAGGCCCCCACACCGGCAGTCTTTAGGAAGAATTTAAAGACCTGGCTGTTCCGATGTGCCTTTCCAAAATAGGAAAACTCCAGTAGACACTTTATTAGAGTCCCAGAAGCACTTTATCAGAACTTTAAGATTCTCTGCACAATGCACTTCCTTGAAATCCGATAGATCACCTGTCACATCCAGCACTTTTTAATCTGTACCTATTACTTGGCCCGGCCCTGTTTTTATTGTGTTATGCTGTATTGTTTTGTTGTTTTTACTGTTATTGCTTTAATGTTTTTGATTTGCTTTGAATTGTATTGTTATGCTATTGTGTTGTTGAGGCCTTGGCCTTTGTAAGCCGCATTGAGTCCTTCGGGAGATGCTAGCGGGGTACAAATAAAGTTTAATAATAATAATAATAATCATCATCATCATTGTTTGAGTCCACAGTGCTCTCTGGATGTAGGTGAACTACAACTCCCAAACTCAAGGTCAATGCCCACCAAACCCTTCCAGTTTCTGTTGGTCATGGGAGTTCTGTGTGCCAAGTTTGGTTCAATTCCATCATTGGAGTTCAGAATGCTCTTTGATTGTAGGTGAACTATAATCCCAGCAACTACAACTCCCAAATGTCAAGGTCTATTTCCCTTAAACTCCATCTGTGTTCATATTTGGGCATATGGAATATTCGTGCCAAGTTTGGTCCAGATCCATCATTGTTTGAGTCCACAGTGCTCTCTGGATGTGAGTGAACTATAATTCTCAAACTCAAGGTCAATGTCCACCAAACCTTTCCAGTTTTTTCTGTTGGTCATGGGAGCCCTGTGTGCTAAGTTTGGCACAATTCCATCATTGGTGGAGTTCAGAATGCTCTTTGATTGTAGGTAAACTATAAATCCCAGCAACGACAATTCCCAAATGACAAAATCATTTTTTTAGTGGAGGACATAAATTGGACTGTTAGGTGTCTTGTGTCCAAATTTGGTGTCAATTCCCCCAGTGGTTTTTGAGTTCTGATGGTAGCACGAACTAGCATTACATTTTTATTTATATAGATAATTAGTTTTTAGATTGTTTATTTGTTTGATTTGATAAGTGGGTGTAAACTTGATTTATGTGCGTTTTAAATTGATATACATTTGCTTTTTGGGGATTTGGGTGGTCTGTTAATGTACTTGTATTTGTTATTCTTAGTGTATAAGCATAGAATGTTTGCCTTAGAATCTTAGGATCATACTGTTGGAAGAGACCTTGTGGGCTGTCTAGTCCAACCCCCTGCCAAGAAGCAGGAAAACTGCATTCAAAGCAACCCGACAGATGGCCATCTAGCCTCTGTTTAAAAGCCTCCAAAGAAGGAGCCTCCACCACACTCCAAGGAAGACAATTCCATTGCTGAACAGCTCTCACAGTCAGGAAGTTCTTCCTAATGTTCAGATGGAATCTCCTTTTCTGTAGTTTGAAGCCACTGTTCTACATCCTGGTCTCCAGGGCAGCAGAAAACAAGCCTGCTCCCTCCTCCCTATTATATCCCCTAACATATTTATACAAGGCTACATTTATACAATTATACATTTATACGTTGTTGGAATCCGCCCTGAGTCCCCCTGGGGAGATATGGCGGAATACAAATAAAGTTGTTTTTGTTATTATTGCTATTTCTTATATTGATTGCAGACCATTAAGACTGCTGCAGAAACTATATGCTAACACAGAAATGAGGGTCAAAGTTGGCAGAAATGGTTCTCTGACAGAAGCTTTTCCAACAGGAGAGTAAAACAGGGATGCTTACTGGCCTTCACACTTTCTAACATCTATACGAATGATTTAGTGTCTTGTTTAGCTAAAACTGACTCTCCTTCACCAGTAATGAGGAACAGAAAAATCTGCATCCCGATGTATGCAGACGATCTAGTGCTAATTTCCCTCTCTTGGTTGGGTCTTAAACATTTCTGAAGGTTTTCAGTACCAAGAGGAATATCTGTAAATAAATTACTCCAAGGCCAAGGTTATGATTTTTGGCACACACTGCCCCAGGTATAAATGGTCTTTAGATCAACATGCGATAGAACAAACCCATCTATTCAAATATCTCTAGGCATTGTTTGTAATGAATTCCTTTCCTAGAAATGCCACAGGGAAGCAATGAGCCTGAAAACCGAGGAAACAATAGCAGCTCTGATGAAAGTTTTCTATACTCTGGGCAATTAACTAATTGAATCTGTTCTAAAAAACTTCCGTAGCAAAGTGTTGGTGAGGATGGTATATGGTGCAGAAATCTGGGGCCTAGATGATAAAATTGTAAAACCTTGGACATATTACAGAACAAGTTCCTCCAAAAACTTTATTCTCTTCCAACGGGAACTCCTGCAGCACTTCTGTGTACCGAATCTGGGTGGCCATCAGTAAAGACAAAAGTAGAGTATGCCCAATGAAGATACTTTAAACAAATTGCCACTCTACCGAGTAACTGTCTTCCGCCATTGCGTTACTTGGAAATAAGTAACCATCAACATCGGAAAAAAATCAGAAAATCTCCTACACAGCTACAACCTCTCCAATTTGAATTCTGCCTTGGACATAGATAAGCAGCAACTAAGAGACTCAGTTCTTGTGGGTTTTTTCGGGCTATATGGCCATGTTCCAGAGGCATTTCTCCTGACGTTTCGCCTGCATCTATGGCAAGCATCCTCAGAGGTGAGGTCTGCTGGAACTGGGAAAAAAGGGGTTTATATATCTGTGGAATGACCAGGGTGAGACAAAGGGCCTTCGACAATACAACTAAGAGACTGGTTATTTTGGACTGATTCAAGAAGGGTTCTGCAATCAGCCAGGAACACAAAATTCTCCTCATATTGAAATCCGAACATTTTTGAGCTGGATATCTGATTAAACTTAAGCCATCTTCCTTAAGAATTGCCTTCACTGAACTGCGATTCCAAATAATGCCCACTGCAGTATTAGATGGTCATTACCATAATGTGCCACTGGAATAGGGAAGGGTGTATAGGAGAATTATGGAGGCTCCCAGTTGCTTTTCATTTATGCTTCCAGGCATTAACAGAACTTTGTAGACATATAGAGTAGTACTGTGTAATAGGTGCTGACATATTAAAAATGATTTGCAATATTGAAATGTACTGAGACAAACATGAGCAAGATCAAAGAAATAGAAATCTTACTGTCACACAATGGAGGGTCTGTATCCCACCGAACACTGCCTTCAAACACAATACAACGAGCAGTCGTCGGTCCAACTGGTTTGTACCTAAAGAAAGAGAGGCCTTACATTTTAAAATAAGGAACAAATATGTGTCTCCTACCTAGTAGGTTAATTGAGATCGTCTATGTCTCACTATCTATTGCTCTGAGGGCCTCTTACAGAAATATAGGATGATCAAACTAACAGTTCGAAAAAGGTACACACAATACACCAGTGAGAACATATCAGAAGACAGATTAAAACATGTTGGGGGATTGGTTAGTTCTTGATCTAGTACTCTAAAGACATAGGAGTGTGTGCCACAGGAAGCTCTCTGTGGAATATTTTTTTCCAAAAGGTACTCTAACTGAAAAGGTTTGTTCTCTATTTACTCCCTGTCCTAACTGACATAAGTACTAATGAGAGAATTAGCATAAATAAAACTGCAACACAGCTTCCTGTTACAGATCATGAAACTTCCAGCCTGGAGTCTCTGAGCTTACAGTCATACATCTTTATCAGAATAGAAGGAGCATGGGCATGTAGACCCACAAAACGCTGTGGATCGGCTCTAGAGGAAACATTTTAATTGCTCTTGAAAGGAGGACACTGCTCCACAAAATCTGCTAGGACTAGATAGAGATCAACAGAGGACGGTAATTGTGGTATGGAGTAAGAACTACCCCATATTTGCTCTCTGTTTCTCCCCAGCCTCCCACACCTATTTATGCATTTACCCATCACCTACATTTAGGTTTAGAAAGCCTATTTGCACTTTGTATCTCCCAGAATTTCAGTTGAAATAAAAACTGCAGTATTTGCTATCAGTGAAGCTTGCCCCAAATGGAAGCCTAGGATCTTCCTAACTAGTTAAGGATAACAAAATATAAGGAAATCCAGTCTCTCTTTCTAACAGAATGTAGTAAGTTGTAATGTGAAGTGGGTGAAACACGCAAAGAAAACATTCAGCTAGGCAGTCCTCCTCATCTATTCAATTTCTCTGATGGTAAGACAAATAGAAGTGATTGGCCTTACTTATATTGATGCTGCCAATTATGATTTTTTTTAAGAAAAACATTAATTACAAGTTGTTTTGAAAGTATCTTTTACCTTTAGGTTGGCTGTAAATAGGTGTAAATAAATATTGTTCAAAATTTAGTACTATCTATAAATATTTTAAGAATTAACATGTGAGTATCAATCCTACAAATTGCTACAAATCACCTGCACTCACCCTGGGTCACAGAAATAGGTTATAGTTGCACCAAGCTGAAGGTCACCTCTTATTCCGCCATTCTCCACAGTTGGAGGCCTACAACTTCTTTCTAAAAGGAGAATTAGAATTAGTTGTCCTAATTCTTAGAACAGAACAAACATGCTTACAGATCTATTTCAGATGTTTAGAAATAAAATATATTTCACAAGCCAGCAATCTTTCAGAAAGAGAATCTGGCTAGACATCCGTATTTTCAAGGAGGTCGTGTTTCACTGAGATCCTGTGAGCCACCAATGGCGGGTTTTATTAACAGTTCTTGCGAATTCTTTGTATGTAGTGATACATTTTAAACTGTAAAGTTTAATTCTCCACTCAGTTCTACTTTTGCTTTATTAGCAAGAGGTTTTTCTCTTAAATTAAATTAACGTTTAGTCGACTATTCCCTGTCACTAAAAAAATAGCATGGCCTGGAATTGTCACACTACTGCCTGAGATTATTATTAGGATTATTAGGAGTAACTACTACTTCTGTCTTATCTTTTTTTTTTTTTACCGAGCCCCCGGTGGAGCAGTGGGTTAAACCCTTGTGCCGGCATGACTGAAGACCAACAGGCTGCAGGTTTGAAGCCGAGGAGAGCATAGATGAGCCCCCTCTATCAGCTCCCGCTCCCTATGCAGGGACATGAAGAGAAGCCTCCCACAAGGATGATAAAACATCAAAACATCCAGGGCATCCCCTGGGCAATGTCCTCGCAGACGGCCAATTCTCTCACACAGTTTTGCAAGTCGCTCCTGACACAAACCCTCCCCCCTTTTTTTTAAACCCAAACACTGATTTTTTTTCTTAAACTTTTTGAAGAATTTGGACCTTTTTCAGCCTGTGGGCAAAATACTGAGGGATAAGAAAGCAAATAATTTAGTATGATTAACCAGCTTTATATAGTCTCTAAAGATATAAAATGGTGTATTTGAGCACGCTTGCAATTTCGAATTCATAAAAAAGGAACAGAAAGAAAAATGCTGAGTTTTTCAGAGACATTTGGATCTCTGTTCCAACATTTCACAAACGACCAACATTATTTGCAAATGCAGAACACAAACAATTACCTTCACAAAATGTAGGAGTGGTTGACCATTCTGAACTTTCGAGACACTTAATAGTAGGGTTTGCTCCACTTATATATTGATAACCAGGGATACACCTATACCTCACGGTAGTCCCAACAGGGTAGGAGTCCAGTTCTTCAGTCGTCAAAGTAGCATGGAGCTGCGCTGGAGGAGCAGAGCAGTCCCCTGCAGATAATAACAGAAAAGGGGTTTTTGAAGAGGGGCGGTTAGACAAAGGGTTAGGATCACAGAACCCTGGATAACCCAGTCTCATCCTAGTCTCTTGAATGGACCACATTCTTGCCAATTTTTGGAGTCAATCATGCAGATTTTAAAAATTCTACACAACTTATTTTATATATTGACAGCATTCAAATGGGTGATTTTTTAAAAAAAAACTGTATTTGAATTATTCTACTGTATACCGTATTATATATTCCTACTGTTCTGTTTTCTCCCACTTTTCTCATTCAGATTAGCTTCCCCAAAAGCTCCCTTTGTTTTTGTTATGAACTTCTATTCATAGTCCTTACCAACTGTTCCCTCTTACTAGGCATTTAGTGTTGTTGTTTTTGTTAGGAAATCACTTTTGCCAACTCCCACAGCCTATCCATTTCCAAGTCTCCCTCTGCTGTTCTGCTGCCCTACCCATACTAGATTCATGGAAGCAGTAGATATTCATTTTTGTGATTGAAAGTGGGTGCCCCTACATTAGAAAACCATCACTGTGCCTCAGGTATTATACTTTCAATGGATTACACACTAAACAATCCTGAAACATGATCCTTAACAATCTCTGTAGCGTAGCTTTTTTGCACCATGCTATACTGAGCAATGAAGCACCATCAAAAAGACAGGGGCCAAATAGGTACAGTTTGTGTACAGGCAGTCCCCACGTTACTGACAAAATAGATTCTTTAGGTTTGTTCTTAAGTTTAATTTGTATGTAAGTCGGAACAGGCACATTATTTAAGTGCAACTCCAACCAAAAATACATTCTGTTTAGCTTTGGATGGCATAGGAAATGGTTAACATCCCTGTCGTGTTTGCTTTTCTGTCTGTTCTGTGCCCATGTTCAGAAGATTTCACCTCACTTTCTGTCCCCGTGATAACTGGATTTTGAAGATTTGGTTTATTATGGAAATATTGATTGGTGAGAAAGCTTTAGCTGAGTCACCTTTTCTCCATGATAACTCTCCCATTAGTGAATTTCCTTTCCGAGGGGTAGATTTCTCTCACTTCTTATTGTCTCACCCCCTTTCTTAACTATGAGCCCCTTCAGGGAGAGAGGGTGGGTTATACTGTAAATAAAGTTTTTGTTGTTGTTGTAAGTCAAATGTTTGCAACTTGGGGACTGCTTGTAAAGTGGTCTCAAGCTGCATTATTTCTACAGTGTTGATTCACCCTCTATGGCATGCTATGGGATCCTGGTAGTTTGAAGAGGTACCAGCATCCCTTTGCAGGTAAAGCTAAAGACCTTATAAAAAGACAACTCCCACGATTCCATACCATGGAGCAATAGCAGTATAAGTGTTGCCAAACTGAAACAATTCGACAGTGCAGTAGATGCACCCTTTGGATGTGCCTTCACTTCAAGTGGCATTCAACTGGACTATTACAACTAATTATTCCCATTACAACCTGCCTTTATCGATAGACTAGCTTGGGTACTTGGCATTGCCTGGGTTAGGTCTTTTGTAATGCTATTTATGAGAAATAGTCATTGTTTGGTTTGGGTTGTATTAATGGTCACATGAGAAATAAATATGGCTCTCTGGATGTAGGGTCTTAGGATGTCGGTGAACTACAACTCCCATCATCTTCTGCTATGGCCCCACCAAACCCCTTTAGTATTTAAAGTTGGTCATGATGGGTATGTGAGCTAAGTTTGGTTTAAGTTAGGCATGGGTAAACTTTGCCCCTCCAGGTGTTTTGGACTTTAACTCCCACAATTCCTAACAGCCTATCGGCTGTTAGGAATTGTGGAAGTTGAAGCCCAAAACACCTGGAAGGCCATTGTTTGCCCATGCCTTGTTTAGATCAATCATTGGTGGGGTTCATGCAGCTTTCTAGATGTGGGAGCCATCCTAGAAAATGCATACTGAGATAGATAGATAGATAGATAGATAGATAGATAGATAGATAGACAGATAACACAGAAACATACTTTCACTTTTAGTATATACTGGAAGTCCCCGAGTTACAAACATCTGACTTACATACAACACATAGTTTAGAAGGGGGCAAGACAACAGGAAGTGAGAGAAATCTACCCCTTGGAAAGGAAACTTACTCCTTAGAGAGTTATCATGGGTAAAAAGTGCCTCCACTGAAACTTTCTCACCAGTCCTTGTTTCCACAACAAACCAAATTTTTCAAAATCCAATTATCACTGGGACAGAAATCTTCTGAACAGGGGCCCAGACAGTAAAAAGAAACACCACTGGGGTATTAACCCTTCTATATACTATCCAAGGCATGTTATATATATATATATAGAGAGAGAGAGAGAGAGAGAGAGAGAGAGAGAGAGAGGAATTTGTATTTCAGTTGGAACACAAACATTTTTAACTGTCACTCCAGCTATACATATACACACATGTGTATGTATGTCAGCTGGAACAGGAACATTTTTAACTGTCACTCCAGCTATATATGTATGTCAGTCGGAACAGGAATATTTTTAAGTGTTATTCCAGACAGATATACATATAGATAGATGGAGTTACACTTATTTATTTATTCCTTTATTTAAGTAGATTTTCCCCTGGCTTTTTCCCTGCACCAAGATGGGACTCAAAGCAGCTAACAATACAATAAGAACATAGGTAAAGGTAAAGGTTCCCCTGACATTAAGTCTAGTCGTGTCTGAATCTGGGGGTGGTGCTCATCTCAATTTCTAAGCCGAAGAGTCGGTGCTCTCCATAGATGCCTCCTAGGTCATGTGGCCGGCATGACTGCATAGAGTGCTGTTAAGAACATACAAAGTAAAAAAAAATTAAAAAGATGAAAATCCGATCAATTCCTTAAAGTAACCTGATTAATCAAACCCTATTTACAAATACAACATATGTATATATATAAAACATTAACAAACCCCATTGGGAGCCAAGTTCCTGTACTGTTGGGATTCCAGAGCAGGCATGGGCCAACTTAGGCCCTCCAGGTGTTTTGGACTTCAACTCCCACCATTCATAACTGCCTCTGGCCCTTTCCTTTTCCCCCTCAGCCGCTTAAGCCCCCTGGTGGCGCGTTGGGTTAAACCGCTGAGCTGCTGAACTTGCTGATGGAAAGATTGGTGGTTTGAATCTGGGGAGCGGAGTGAGCTCCTGCTGTTAGCCCCAGCTTCTGCCAACCTAGCAGTTCGAAAACTTGCAAATGTGAGTAGGTCAATAGGCACTGCTCCAGTAGGAAGGTAACGGTGCTCCATGCAGTCTTGCCGGCCACATGACCTTGCAGGCGTCTGCGGACAATGCCGGCTCTTTGGTTTAGAAATGGAGATGAGCACCACTCCCCAGAGTCAGATTCAAGTAGACTTAATGTCAAGGGGAAACCTTTACCTTTATCCTAAAGTTATTAGAAAATGTCCTCCCCAAAAAGGAAGTCTCACTCCAGTTGTGTGAAGGAATGACATATAAGGAACACATCTTGGATAGAGGGCGATTAATAAGTAATTAAATGATGATGATGATGATCTATTAAATACTGCAAATTTTAATATAAAGTATACTAGCATAGTTTTGGAGCCCCCAGTAGCGCAGAGGGTCCTCTACAAGTACACTTCCTATCTCACCCAGGGTTTTAATTTTTGAACATTTTCTCTTGCACATTTGGCCCACCCTCTGATTGGTTTTTGTTATGCTATTTTGCATTTCTATTTTATTTTGTTGCATTATGTATTTTGTTGTGTTTAATTTTCTATTGTTTTGTATATTATTTTGATGTATTATTTTTGGCCTTGGCCTCATGTTAGCCGCCCTGAGTCTCCATTGGGGAGATGGTGGTGGGGTATAAATACAGATTATTATTATTATTAAAGTGCTGAACTGCTGAACTTGCTGACCAAAAGGTTGGTGCTTCGAATCTGGGGAGCGGAGTGAGCTTCTATTATTATTATTATTATTATTATTATTATTATTATTATTATTATTATTAAAGTGCTGAACTGCTGGACGTGCTGACCGAAAGGTTGGTGGTTTGAATCTGGGGAGCGGAGTGAGCTTCTATTATTATTATTATTATTATTATTATTATTATTTTATAATAATATTTTATTGAGTTTGTCATATAAAAGATAAGACATATAGAGCATTACACTGAGAAGACAGAACATGGAGTATACCACCTACATACATACAACGTACAAACATGAAGTGCAGGTTACACTAGACGAAGCAGACATATCGTGATATCACCTACAAACAATGGCCCCAACGATCCCTCATCTCCTCCCCCCCCTCCCCTCCCCCTCCCCACTCTAATGTTAAAACCGACTTCCCCTCATTTTCATTCATTCTTGTACCATTTCGTAATACTGTATTTCTATTACATCTATATCATCCTCCATTTTTCAGACATTAATAATTTCCTATCGCTGTATTTCCTTTTCCATATAAGTCTTAAACAAGCTCCAATTGGTCATCACAGATCCTCTCCATTGTTCTGTCTTAGCCAGAACGTCAGCTCGTCCATTTCCTGGATATCCAGGACTTTATCCCGCCATTGCATAATGGTAGGTATCTTGTCTTGCTTCCGCAAGCTGGCGAATGTCATCCTGGCTGCAGTTGCTAAGAAAGTAAACAACTTTTCTAAGTTAGTATCAGGGAAAACAGAATTATCGTACATTATTATTATTATTATTATTATTATTATTATTATTATTAAAGTGCTGAACTGCTGGACGTGCTGACCGAAAGGTTGGTGGTTTGAATCTGGGGAGTGGAGTGAGCTTCTATTATTATTATAATTAAAGTGCTGAACTGCTGAACTTGCTGACCGAAAGGTTGGTGGTTCGAATCTGGGGAGCGGAGTGAGCTTCTATTATTATTCTTATTAAAGTGCTGAACTGCTGGACTTGCTGACCGAAAGGTTGGTGGTTTAAATCTGGGGAGCGGAGTGAGTTTCCGTTGTCAGCCTCAGCTTCTGCCAACCTAGCAGTTTGAAAACATGCAAATGTGAGTAGATCAATAGGTACTGCCTTGGCGGGAAGGTAATGGTGCTCCATGCAGTCATGCTGGCCACATGACCTTGGAGGCGTCTACGGACAACGCAGGCTCTTTACTTAGAAATGGAGATGAGTACTACCCCCTAGAGTCAGACTCAACTAGACTTAATGGCAAGGGAAAACCTTTGCCTTTATTATAAAGAGAGAGAGAGAGAGAGGGAAGGCACACTCTATTAGCAAGCCCTGCCATGCTCCCCTTATGAAGGTTGCCACGCCTCCTTTGAAGGAGAGAGAAGGGGCCTGGGCGCCTGCTCTCAAAGACCCCCAAATCCTTACCGTGAGCTCCTGACAGGAGGAGGAGCGGCAACAAAAGCAGCGACCAGGCCGGGCCCTCCATGGCTTCAGCTCCCCCCTTCTCCTCCTCCTCCACTTTCGTCCGAGAGCGGCTCAGCGACAGCCGGGCGGGGCCTGCGAAACCGAGTGCCAGGAAGGCGCCGCCCATGCTGCTCTTCCGGGAAAGCGCCCTGGCCAAAAGGGACTCCTCCGCGGGAGTCTCTGCTTCAGAGTGGGTGTGGCGCGCCCGGGTGACGTCACCCGCTGCGCCTCCTTCCTTCCTTCCTTCCTTCCTTGCTTGCTTGCTTGCTTTCTCCAGGCTCCTGCTCTGGTTCCAGCTTCCTCTGCACCTTCCCTCTTTGGCAGAGAAGGCTCAAGGCCTTGTGGAACCACAACTCCTGGCCTTACATAACATTTGAAGTGGTGTAAAATGCCATGGAGTCTACCATGTAGTTTTTTTTTTTGTCATGTCAGGAGTGATTTGAGAAACTGCAAGTCGCTTCTGGTGTGAGAGAATTGGCCGTCTGCAAGTACGTTGCCCAGGGGACGCCCGGATGATTTGATGTTTTTATCATCCTTGTGGGAAGCTTCTCTCATGTCCCTGTATGAGGAGCTGGAGCTGATAGAGGGAGCTCATCCATCTCTCCCCGGATTCGAACCTGCGACCTATCGGTCTTCAGTCCTGCCGGCACGGGGGTTTAACCCACTGCGCCACCGGGGGCTCTTACCATGTAGTGACACGACTTTAACTGCCATGGCTGAGTGCTATCAAATCCTGGGATTTTTAGTTTGGGGAGGCACCAGCACTTGAGGGAAATGCAGTTTTAAAATGGAATATTCATGGATGCTTCAAATGATTGTAAGTCCCATCTGTCCGGATTTGGATTTGATTAGACAATTCCCTGGACTTAACGATGACCCAAGTCATACTACTTACTACTTTCCTCAATGCCAGAGATACAGCTTAATGGTGTAACATTAGAAAATGTTGACCATTTCCGCTACCTTGGTAGCCACCTCTCTACCAAAGTCAACATTGACACCGAAATACAACACCGCCTGAGCTCTGCGAGCGCAGCATTTTTCCGAATGAGAGTGTTTGAGGACCGGGACATCCGTAGGGATACCAAGGTGCTTGTTTATAGAGCTATTGTCCTCCCAAACCTGTTATATGGCTGTGAAACGTTGACTGTCTACAGACGTCACATGCAACTCCTGGATTCCATCAGCGCTGCCTCCGGAAAATCCTGCAAATCTCTTGGGAAGACAGGCGGACAAACATCAGCGTGCTGGAAGAAGCAAAGACTACCAGCATTGAAGCGATGGTCCTCCGCCATCAACTCCACTGGACCGGCCATGTTGTCCGGATGCTGACCACCATCTCTCAAAGCAGTTGCTCTACTCCGAACTCAAGAACGGAAACAGAATGTTGGTGGACAGGAAAAGAGATTTAAAGATGGGCTCAAAGCCAACCTTAAAAACTCTGGCATAGACACTGAGAACTGGGAAGCCCTGGCCCTTTAGCGCTCCAGCTGGAGGTCAGCTGTGACCAGCAGTGCTGCAGAATTTGAAAAGGCATGAATGGAGGATGAAAGAGAGAAACGTGTCAAGAGGAAGACGCGTCAAGCCAACCCCGACCGGGACCACCTTCCACCTGGAAACCAATGCCCTCACTGCGGAAGAAGATGCAGATCAAGAATAGGGCTCCACAGCCACCTACAAACTCACAAGAATTCTGATTCTGGAAGACTATCCTACTCGGCCAACAAGGGATCGCCTAAGAAGAAGAAGAAGACTACTTTCCTATCCAAAGCTTTGCACCTTACTAGTTTCCTATCCAAAGCCTTAATTCACCAGTTGAAATTGTTATTTTGCTTCTTTATGGCATATGCAGAAAGCAGCAAAATAAAATGACAAACTCATTAGACCTACCTTCTAAATTTTGGTGCACCAGACCGCCCTCCTACAATGAGACTTGAATTATACTATTGGTTGTTTCTGATGCTTGTTTTATTGTTGTTATAATGTTGCTTATGTTCCTTTAAATTGATGACTGATTTTGTACATGTTTTAACTGTCGACTGGGCCTGGCCCCACATAAGCTGGCCCGAGTCCCATCGAGGAGATGGAGGCGGGGTACAAAAGTAAAGTTATTATTTTATTATAACTTTATATACAACTGTTTGAAAATGCAGTGTAAAAGACATAGGAACCTGGAACGACTGAACAATGAGATGGATAATGTTTTTAATTAGAAGACACAAATTGCTTATGTTTATATTACTTTTGTTTGGTTTTATACTATATATTAAAGTTTTAAATGTTTAATGATGTTCTTGGGCATCGAATCATTGCCTCTTTAAACTGCCCTGAGTCGCCTGAGGCCTGAGAAGGACGGTATACAAATATAGTAAATAAATAAATTAAATTTAATATTACTATTTATAGGGGCATTTGTCTGCACTCCATGCAGTCATGCTGGCAATGTGACCTTGGAGGTGTCTACAGACAACACCGGCTCTACGGCTTAGAAATGGAGATGAGCACCAACCCCCAGAGTCGGACACGGCTGGACTTGATGTCAGGGGAAAACCTTTACCTTTTTACCTTGACTGTGAAGTGAAAGAACTGCTACAGGGAGGTGAATTATTCTCAGGGATGATAATGGACTCAGTGGAATACAGAGCAGTCATCAAGTTCCTTTATTTGAAAGGCTGCACACCAAAGGAGACATTTGATGAGATGAAAGAGGTTTATGCCGATGATTCCCCATTGTATGATGTAGTCAAGAACTGGCATCGTCAATTCAAATATGGTCGGACTTCGATGGAAACTGCCCCAATTCCAGGGCGGCCCCACTCTGCTATTAATGAACACACCTTTCAACAAGTGGAGGTAACCATTTTGGAAAATTGCTGCGTGACCATTCGCCACTTAGCTCAAAATGTCAAGATTAGTGTGGAGTCTGTGGGAAAAAATCATGCACCATCTTCACATACATAAGGTATCCACTCGCTGGATTGCCCAGCTGCTCACACCTTTTCAGAAGCAGGAATGAGTCAAATGCTCTCAGGCTCTGTGCCATGGAAACCAGGAGGACTTTTTCAACAATCTATCTATCTATCTATCTATCTATCTATCTATCTATCTATCTATCTAGTCAGGAGTGAACCAAACAGTTGTATTGTATTTTTTTAAAAAAACACAAAGTTTGTAAACTTGGCATTCTATTAAAAGTCCTTTGACCAGTATCTGGCCACTTGGAGCGCCTCTGGTGTTGCTATAAGAAGGTCCTCCACTGTGCATGTGGCAGGGCTCAGGTTGCATTGTAGTGGGTGGTCACTGGTTTGCTCTTCTCCGCACTCGCATGTCATGGATTCCACTTTGTAGCCCCATTTCTTAAGGTTGGCTCTGAACAGAGCGCAGTCTGTTCAGTACCTTCCAAGTCGCCCAGTTTCCTGTGTGCCCAGGAGGGAGTCTCATTTGGTATCAGGCATTGATTGAGGTTCTGGGTTTTAGCCTGCCACTTTTGGACTCTTGTTTGCTAAGTGTCTCCGTAGATCTTAGAAAACAATTTCTTGATTTATGTTGTCAACAGACTGATCACACAGGATGAAAGCTGGGTCCATCACTATGATCCTGAGAATAAAGTCCAGTCGATGCAGTGAAAACAATGGAAGCATCATGACTCACCACCTCTAAAGAAGGCATATGTCCTACTTCTGGCTGGCAGGGTCATGCTCAGAGTATTTTGGGACCAGCACAGTACTGATGGATTTCCTAGCAAAGGGTACCATGATCACTGGGGCATACTTATACTGCGGAAATTGAAGGAGGCCATCAAAACCAAGAGCTGTGGCATGCTCACTCAAGGCCTTCTGCAAGACAGTGCACCAATTCAAAACTCACATGTTGCCCAAATGGAAGCATGCTCATGTGGCTTTGAAATTCTACCTCATCCCCCTTATTCCCCCAACCTTGTACCATCAGACTTCCACCTCTTTCCAACAATGAAGTTATTTTTGAATGGCAAGCGTTTTTCAGATGATGAGACTCTGATTTCCGAAGTCATAACATGGATTTTGGAGCAGGCTGTTGACTCCTACAAGTCAAGTGTTTACAGTTGCGTAAAAAGATGGGAGAAGTCTGTGTCAATAGGTGGCACCTATGGAGAGAAGGACTAATAACTGTACCAAGTTTCATTGCTTTCAGTCCACAGGAAGTGGGTCAGGGGAAATCTTTAATGAATGCCCCTCATATATTTGAAACAGAAAAGTAGATAAGACTGACCCACAGACGCTTTGTAGTTAAGTGCTCAGGGTCAGAGATATGAAAATATAATTGTGCTATTGACCTGCTTGTTAGAGTTATAGAGAGCCAATGAAAATCTGTATTAGCCAGCTTAGACCAATGGAATAATTGACCTTTGAACAGCAATCAGAATGTGTTTTTAATTTTCTGTTAAAGTGATAAAAGCCTTGCAACCCTGTTGCAGGGCGTGACAAACCTTTTTTGTGTAGTGAGCACACTGTTGCCTTATTACTTGGCATGCAATATAAGCCTTTGTAGTCAGAATCCAAGTTGTGGCATCTTCCTTGCACAGCTGCCTGGGGCCTTTAGGGGACTCCTGAGCTTGTGCAGAGTTTGTTTGGAATGCTCATGAGCCTGAGCCCCTACACACTCTTTGGCAGAGAAGGCTAAATAATAATAATAATAATAATAATAATAATAATAATAATAATAATTATTATTATTATTATTATTATTATTATTATGCTGTGAGTTTTCTGGGCTGTATGGCCATGTTCTGGAAGCATTGTCTCCTGATGTTTCACCCACATCTATAGCAGGCACCCTCAGAGATTGCGAAGTCTGTTAGAAGCTAGGCAAGTGAAGGCAGGAAGCAACCAGGCTTTGAAGCTGCAGGCTTTGACTTCATGGACCAGCCCATGTCAGAGCTCTGTAGGCTGTGGCCATCCCAGCTCCTTCAAGATCAAGGCAGTCACTTCAAGGGTAGCATCCATCCATCTTGGCCTTGGTCGGCCTCTCTTCCTTTTTCCTTCCATTTTCCCCAGTATCATTATCTTTTCCAAGCTTTCCTGTCATCTCATTATATGGCCAAATTACTTCAGCATTGCCTCTAATATTCTTCCCTCCAGTGAGCAGTTGAGCGTTATTTCCTGGAGTATGAATCGCTGCAAGCTATTCAGTGCTAACTAAGGTGGCTAATTGCAACATTCACACTTGCATAAACAAGAGTTCTTTCTCCCACCCTGGACATTCCACAGA